AGAATCCAACTCCTTTGAGTGCTTACTTGCAGCCTATATTATACATATTCCTATCCAAATTTCTGAGTTTTTCCGTAGGAGAGGATGGAATTAACTTTATTGAAAATGAATGGGGAAGTGGTGGAACGTGTGGAACCACATTGAATTTACTCTAGTGTGGCATGAAGCCGCAGATGTCGAGCAGCTCATATGCCGCTAGCTATGCCCTGTTTGGCCTCTCAATTTGGTGAAGGTTTTGTAGTGTATCATGAGCATGAACTAAGGAGTGGTTGAGTAGTGTAGTGTATCATGAGCATGAACTAAGGAGTAGTTGAGCTACTCAAGCAAACCGCCCTACCTAGCTACAACATAGGAATAGAAGGAAAAAGGTTGTGAAGGTGGCCTCGTTATCCACACATTTGGTAAGATGAATGGAGAATCGACCCGAGTTTTCATGAGTGTTGATAAGTCCCGACCCGAGTTTTCATGAGTGTTGATAAGTCCCGACCCGAGTTTTCATGAGTGTTGTTGATAAGTCCTAATTGCCATGAGTTTTGTTGGTTGTAAGTATGTTGGTAAATGATACGATGATAGTTGCAAGCAAATATATTAAATATATATATTTATAAATAAATATATCGAAGGAGATCCATAAAATATAATTGAGGGAAAAAGATGAAATAGTATAAATTTAATCTTCTGTAAAATCCATATTGCGTCTTCTTCATTTCAACAGACAAAGTTCCATCCGACTTCCGAGGACTCTCGACGCGGGAACAAGACGGCGACCCAAACTGAAGTTCCCAAAGAAGAAGAGTGAGAGAGTATAATGGAATCGAAGACATCGTCATCTTCTTCCTCCTCCTCTGTAATTGAGCACGAGGCCTATGCCAGAGTGGGACTACTGGGAAATCCGAGCGACGTTTACTACGGCCGGACCATTTCTTTTGCGTTTTCGAATTTCAAGGCTTCCGTCCAACTCCGGACCTCTGATGAGCTTGTCATCACTCCTCATCCCACCCACGATCTTGTCCAGTTCAGATCCCTTGATCATCTGGTACTTTTTTTCTCGTATGCTATTGAAGTGGTCCATTGATTGGGTTAGATCTGGTTTTTTATTAGATCAGGTTAATTTCTCTGCAATGCATCTGGAGGGGTTTGCAAATAACACCTTGCATTGTGGAGAATTCAATGAGCGATTGAAATTTTAGAATGTCTTTTAAATTTGTGGTTTCTTTTTTCGGTGGCTGATTAATAGTATTTTTGTATTTCCTGTTGTTATTGCTATTTCATTTTTAGATATCTAAAGATGAAATCGCCATAGAATTACATAGCACTATATTTTGTTGATGCGTTGGAATTATTTAAATTTCATTTCATGAAATTCAATTGAGTTGTGATCTTGAAGGTTAGCCAATATGTTAATGAATTCAACGGCGATTAAAATTTGTTAGTTCTTTTACAGGTAAATCGACTGTCCAATGAAGGCTACTATGGTGGGGTGCGATTGCTTATGGCAATTTGTAAAGTTTTTTATAATTATTGCAGAGAAAACGGGATTAATCTTCATGCAAGGAATTTTACTTTGTCTTACGACACTAATATTCCTCGACAGGTATAGTGCCCTGCAATATTGCTGATTCATGTTTATTTGTGGTCATTGAAGTAGATGCTCTTGTTTCATGCTTAGTTGGTAAAATAGCAATGCATTAAGCTTACTAAACCTTTGGTAATGTAGCCAATATGGATTTGTGTTCTTTTAATGGAAATGAAAAAGGTTCCTTCCTGAATTTTTTACTTAATAATACTCAAATTTATAACACCCAAAAAGACCTGCCTATATTAAGCTATAAATGAACTCTTAGATTTGCGTACTTCACTTTGATCTGTGATTTGCACACCAATGCATTCTTGCTTTCCTTGGCTAGTGCATTTTTAATGGTCATTGAGTTGAAGACCAATTATTTCATGATATGATCGGTTCTTTTTAGCCTGCTTGTGTTTGTACCTATGCTAAAACTCATATTCCCTTATTCTGCAAATTGGTTTCTTGACAAGAACCAAATGGCTTACGCTTTGATTTTGACTTTCCAGGCAGGACTTTCAGGTTCCAGTGCTATTGTATGTGCTGCCTTGAGTTGCTTGCTAGACTTCTTTGATGTTAGGCATCTGATTAAAGTAGAGGTCAGACCTAACCTTGTTCTTGCCGCAGAGAAAGAACTAGGCATTGTTGCTGGTCTTCAAGATCGTGTTGCGCAGGTTTACGGTGGCCTTGTTTACATGGTATAGCTACTAAAAACGTTGATATATTCATGAATATGGAAATAGATTGAATTTTTAATGATGTTTCTATCTGTTTCTGTAGGATTTTAGTCAGGAACACATGGAGAAGCTTGGGCATGGCATATACACACCCATGGATATTAATCTTCTTCCTCCACTATATCTAATATATGCTGATAATCCAAGTGATTCTGGAAAGGTTTATATCTTAGTGGACCCCATAGTACATTTGTTCTCTACCTTTATTCATGTTCTAGCAGCTTGTTTGCTCTTGCATGAATAGTTTTTTTTTATCGAAGCCTAAAACTAATACCATATTGCATCAGTAAAAATACTGGAGAAGTCCAACAATACTTTTCTGTTCTCAAAATGAACCGTAACCAATTAAATTTTGTTTGTGTCAGAGAGAGAATTTTCACATTCTTCAAATCTTACAGTTCCTCTGTAGATGTACTAAATCTTATGACTGCTGGAAATATGATCTCCAATACTAATCACTGTCATCCATGACCAATGCAAATGCAGGTCCACAGTACAGTTCGGCAGAGGTGGCTTGATGGTGACAAATTCATTATATCATCAATGCAAGAAGTTGCTATGGTTGCAGAAGAAGGAAGAACGGTTTTACTTGAGAAGGACTATTCAAAACTTGCAGCACTTGTGAACCGCAATTTCGATCTTCGCAGGTTAGTGTCTACTTACTCAACAAATTTAGACCCAATATTAGAACGATATATGCCTCTCAAGTAAATTTGTAACTCCTAAACTATAAATAAGTTTCTTGTCTTCCCTTGGAATATTAATTGTACTTGGAGAAAATAATTTATGTTTATATGAGAATACCTTTTACAAGTTCAGTAATTTGGCCTACTACGCTGTTCTGAAATTAGTTGGATGGCCCAGTTGGTTATTTGAGATTTGCCCTCCAGGATGTCTTCACTCTACAATCATGGAATTTCCACAAATAGTATTATTCTTTTTCAAGTCTCATTTTTAAACCATGTAACTTGGCTGGTTATTGCAACAGTAGCGATATCTGATCTTTACTTTTAGGGTGAGTTTGCCACGACTCGTGATGATAGTGTCTTCTGAAACACTTCTCTCGGAAAGATCACTAATTGAGTGCTTTTAGTGCTTTCTGTATACGCTTTCAAGTACTTTTTCAAGAACACTCTCAACAATTTAACCAAGCACATCAAATCCCTTTCCCTCAACCGAAAATTATGCTAACTCACCCGTACTCTTAGATAGCACGAGTTATTTACCGCTGTTTTTCCCTCCTAATTTCTGAACTCACAGGAGTATGTTTGGAGATGATGTTCTGGGTGCTTTAAACATTGAAATGGTGGAAATAGCCCGAAGAGTAGGTGCTTCTTCAAAGTTCACAGGCAGTGGAGGAGCAATCGTGGTATTCTGCCCTGATGGGCGTTCACAGGTGGAGCTTCTGGAGGAAAATTGCCAGAAAGCTGGTTTTTTTATTCAACCAATTCAGGTGGTTCCTTCATGCTTAAATGAGGTTGATCTTAGAACACTTTCCAGTTAGATTAGAAGAGGTTGCAATGAGTTTGGTAATTTTGGTTTTCTGAGGAGATATTCAAGTTGAATACATTATCAGTGAATATTTTGAATAAGTTACAGGAGCCTTTTTAAAATTCTTTTGGGAAGATTATAGGAACTGCTAGACTTGATAAATTGGTATTAGGCGTCTTGAAATCTTTCACTTTATGATGTATGTTCAACATTCATTTGATCAATGAATCAATACTCACTTTCATTTACAGACATTAATGTGCAAATTTGTGATATAGAGTTCAGAAAATAGTGGAAATTATATCATTTAGTATCCAAGGGGTTGATCATTCCATCTCCAATCTTGAACCTGCAAAAAAAACGAACCAACAACGAACATCCCCTCCCGCCCAACCCACCGGAAATGTTCAGTGTCACAAACTAGCTCAGCCCACTTCAATGGAGAAGTCATCTTCTCCAAACCTATTTCATGCCCTCCCTCCCATTTCTTCATTGGCTCTACACTCATGACTTCTTCCAAATCACTCTCTCAAACCTCAACCTTCTCCACAGATTCCGTAATGCACTCTCCCTTATCGCTCCGCAGATTCTCGACTGTCTTATCCTCCGCCGCCCTCTCAGAGTCGACGAATACCCACATGAATCAGCTCCGACAACTCTCCCCAGCTCGAGTCCTCTGAGGATCCCACTTCCGATTGTCTGGTAAGGAAGGGGCGTGGTCATGGATAAGGCTAAAAAGGAAATATTATAAGAAAAGAAGGAAGAGGATGTATGTGTCCGATTCCGAGTAAGATAAGCGGCCACCACAGGATGATGAGGGATTTGTGGAATTAAAGCCTGAGGTGGTTTGGTTGAGTTTAATGCATTGCATAAGAGAGAGGAGGAATTGTTCAGACGGGTCCCCATGCCTTTTGACCCAGGCATACAGAGCCCCCCCCCCCCCCCCCCCCCC